AAAAAAAAAAAAAAAACTTACCTTGCAGGGTGTTTGGATCAATGAGGTGGATGGCACTGGTTACCCGAATACACACACATATCTGGCTCATATTTCCCAAGCTTTGTGCAAGTTTTGGAGACAGACAAACAACATTATCCTAGGCATAAGAAATAACATTTAAAATGATGCAAATACTAAATAACAGTCTCTGTAAATACTTATCAATGTAAATCAAGTCAACCTGTACTTGTTCAACTAAAACATTTAAGAAATTAAAAATCAGATATAACTTACTTAGACAAACATATTTGTCTTAATTAAAATGCTTTGAGAAATATTCCAGGGTCTATTTTCCAAGCTATTAAGTTTATTTCAAAATTATTATAGTATTTGTTTTATCACTCTACATGTGAGTACAGTGTACATTATTCTAATCAAAGTATATTAGTAGTACATTTTGATGTTCTAAATCTAATTTCTTTCAATATACATAAAAAAGTTGAAAAGAACATGTTTCTCTTAAAAGGTTCCAAGTACCATAAATCAATACGTAATCAAATATTTTAATGCCCAAAGTCACATGTCTACATGTATTTTGAAAAATATTATATAAACCAACAATGTAATTAGGATTTTAGAACCAGGGACATAGCTCAGCAGCATAAGTGCCTGCCTGGCAAGCACAAGGTTCCAAGTTTGATCCCCAGTACCGCAAAAAAAAAAAAAAAAAAAAGATTTTACACCATATTGTACGTAAAAAAGATCTGTGTTATATTTTAAGCTAAAGTAGTCCCTTGCTATTTAGCAGCTCAACTTTTGCAGACTCACTGTTTCACAGGTTTTCAAAAAGTATTAATCTAAATTATCACGGATTTTTCACTGTCTTGGGATTTTGCAATACCATATGGTATATGTATGTTGTTAAAATTATGTAGGTTTATAAGTTTAGAAAATGGTTAAGAACATTTAATCAAGTCTAATCTACCTTAGCTTCAATTCCTTCATAATATGGCTACCTTAGTTATTAAGAGTTATGTTTTTAAAAGTGTGGGAAACATTTATAAGTGTGTTGCAAGGGTTTATAATGCCCTATAATATATATAAATACTAAAATACATTGCTGATTTCCACTTATGGCAGGGGTGTCTGGAATGTAACCTCCACGATAAGTGAAGAACCACTGTATTCACAAGAACAGTCTCTCTGCTACAGGGGACATTTCATGTATAATTCCTCTCCAACCTTTGGTTTTCAGTTCAAGAGTTTCCAAAGACAAATATAGTAAGCTGACCATATTTGTGTGTTTCACCTCTGAAGATTCAACCAACAGATTTCAAAAATACATTTTTAAAAATCTGTACCTGTACTGAACACATGGACTTTTTTGTCATCATTCCCCATAATAGAACAAGTATTACACAAGGCCTGACTATGCCTACCCTAAATTTCCTATGCTCCAGGTCCTGTGCCAAGAAAATACTCACGTTTTAAACCAGAGATTGGCATAAAACGGCCCTCAGAACAAATTCAGTCAAGCACTTGTTTTTGGTAAACTTCTGCTAGAAAGAACACAGAACTGGCCATTTACTTACATATCGTTCTCAGGGACTTTTGTGCAATAATAGGGCTGAAAAGTTGCAAAAGAGATTGTATGGCTTGAAAACAAAAAAATATTTACTAACTGGTCTCTTACAGAAAATCTGTCAACCATGTTTTAGACTCACTCTTTTTTCATCCCTGGTGCTTATACTATAAATTAGGAGGAACACTTGAAAGCTTTAGAGACACAGACCTAGGTAGAAATTCTGACTTGTTATTTTGCGGTTATGCAATTTTAATCAAGTCCCATCTACCTTAGCTTCAATTCCTTCATAATATGGCTACCTTAGTTATTAAGAGACATGAACAAAGTGAAAGAAACTATAGTACTTAGCTATTAATTTTATGTAGAACAATCATAATAAATTATGGCAATTGTCATTTTAGCGATTCACTATCACCATAAATTCCTCCAAGTTAAAGAACTCTGGCAACATAATCCACACTATACACGAGGCACTCAGTAATTTATTTTTTTTTGGGGGGGGGGGAACCAGGGATTGAACTCAGGCCCTTGCACTTGCCAGGGAAGCGCTTATTCTACTGAGCCATCTCCCCAGCCCCCATCAGTAATTTAACTATTGAATTTTCATACATTCATATTTTAACGAGTTTTATCTTACTACAATTAAGTTAAATGATAATTTACATTTTAAAAGTTTTATTCAGATGTTTTCAAATAAAAATGATTCTATGATCTCATTTCCATATAGTTAGACATGGCCAAAAGCTATTCACATACCACAAAATGGCTCACTAATTCCTTTTTTAATGTCACTCTGACAAATCAAATTCTTATAGAACTGTTATACATTCACTAGGATCACAATATTTTTTTTCTTAGAATTTTGCTTTTTGTTCTTAATTTCCAATATGTTTGTGATACATACTGAGTGTATTTATCATGGGAAGTTGGTACATATATATATATATCACACATTTTAGTCTTTTCTATTTCACTTTCCTTCAACTTTCTCCCTTCTCCCTCTTACCCTAGAACCTAGTCCCATCTGCAAAAGGTCTACCTGCCTGTTTAGGATTACAATTTTAAGGAACTTGTAGACTTTAAAAAACTATACTCACATCTTCTGATCTTAACACACCAAGTAAAATGTACACCAATTCATGATTATAAACACGTCTCCCTTTTTGTATTTTTTAATAAGACTGAATGTCAGAAATTATGTATGAAAGTTAGTTGAAGTGCAACCACTCCAGAAGAAAAACCAGTTAATTACTTGAACTCCTATAGATATGGATTAAAAAACAAAAGTACCTTGCATATTGGAACGATTTCCACAGAAAAAGTACTTTTGTAATTGTATGTGTTACTATGGATATCCTGAGAGATCAGCCTTTGTGATGCTTTACATCTATTTAAAAAAAAAGAATAGTAATGTAAGGTCTTATTCTATAAAACTTAAATACCAATTTTCATCAAATCAAATTATCACTGCCCAAGGTCTAAAAGAGGTTTTTGATGCCTGTTACGACAAAGCCCAAGCATCCACTTTTATTTAAAAACCTTTATCCATGTATCTGCACCCCACCTATTTTCAACCTTATCAAGCTCCAAAATGCTCCCTTGGATCAGAATACTCTATATACATCTATTAAAACGCCACAGTACTACTCACTTGCATCTTTGTTCACTAGTCTCACCTTTTAATATAAACTCTACCTATGAAAACTCCATCTTTCAAGTGCAATCCACCTACTCTCTGAATCTTGTACCCAAAGTCCTCCTACTCCCATACACTTTCATTTATCCCACAATTGATCTGTATTTCAGACCTACAATGCTTATTATCATGTAGGTCTGACTCCCCAAAGAGATTTTTATATACTCTTTAGCTAGCATATTCAACAAAGTGGCTAACCCAGTAAATGCTTCCTGATTGTGTAAATATTCCCATTAAAACTTTAAATATTTTAACGTAAGACATCTAAGCCTGCAGAACAGATGTGTCCAAATCCATTCCCATTTCCTTGGACTCAGTCACATTTAGGTTCACAACATACCTACAAGGAACTGTACACTGAAGAAATTCTACCATCTTCTGAGCATGCTGTTTTGAGGAATAATAGAAATCCAGACCATCTTTTAAAAAAGAAAAAGAAAAAGCCATATAAAGAATTCTGCAAAATAAGATATGCAGGGGCCAGGGAGATGGCTCAGTAGAATAAGCGCTTCCCTGGCAAGCACAAGGGCCTGAGTTCAATCTCCGGTTTCAGCAAAAAAAAAAAAAAAAAAAAAAAAAAAAACAAGATTTGCTTCTGCTAATATCACTACATCATAAAATCCGTATTTGATAAAAATCAAACTATTAGAAAATAGTAAGCAGTAAAATGTAGCCACAACAGATTAAGGATATCTCTTAATACTTGCCTGGCAAAATGACAGACAAATGCTAATAAGCAAAAACAAGATGTACAATTTTAGTTCTAAAGGGAGGGGAAAAAAAACTAAAGGATAATTGGAAAGATTCTCACCCTGACTAACTATATATACTAAAGGATAAAAATAAGAGAACGAAGAGCATTTTATGTGATAAGTGGAATAATTTATACTCTTAACAGACCTAGTAATGGGTCAAGGAGATAGCTCAGCTGGACAGTGCCTGCCTAGCAAGTGCAAGATCCTGAGTTCAATTCCCAGTACAAAAAACAAGAAAGAAACTAAAATAGTATTTATGTATCACTTCATCATTACTGTACTGAGTGTAGGCTTCTCAATTATACCTCTATTACAAATACCTCAGGCATAAGAAAAAGAACTTACAGAGCTCCAAGATAATTTTGTTCTTCAAAACAGAACCTTTCTCTCCACTTTTTATTTCTAATGACTTTTATATCAGCAATTTATACTGTCTTAATATTGTTACTGGCTTCTTTCACTTCTCTGGATGAGAGCAGGAATATTAATTCATCTGCATGTTTTAAGAACCCAAACAACAACTATCACAAACTAGATGCTTGGGAAATATACTGAACTATGATGGGAGAAGGAAATTAACAACAAACACCAAAAATCGTACTCCTAGATATGTGCTACCCAACAGACTAGCCACATATTAATCAAACACACTTAAAGGAATTTTAAGTTAAAACAGCAGAAATTTTTTTTTTGGCAGAACTCAGGATTGAACTCAGGCCCTTGTGCTTGCCAGGGAAGCAATTATCCTACTGAGCCATCTCCCCGGCCTGAAAAATTTGAAAAATTCGTTCCTCTGTTGCACTAGTCACCATTTAAATACTTAAAAACACCAAAGGTGGCTAGTGATTTCCATATTGGCTAGCACAGATGAAAGATAAAGATTATTTTCTTCCTAACAGAAAGTTCTTCTAGATAGTAACAACTGAGATATTAATAGTAAAGTGTTTCAAATTCTTTAACTCACCATGAATCTCCTTGATACGAAGTGTATTCTGATGCACTCCATACTTCAGAATCAACTGCTCCAGATAGTAGAATGTTTTTTTGTGCAAAGTCTAAACAGAAATGCATTACTGAATCAATAAACTAAATGCCAAAGGAAACACTTTCAAACACATGTACATATCTATAAATATAAACCCACTCTGCAAATCAACCTCTCAATCTTGAGATGTGAGCCTACGGCAGAGTATTAATGCTTCATACTATTAATTTTTCAAATAAAAACAATCTTTAACAATTATGTAAAAGCAAAATAGTGATCTATTTCCAAAGGTGAACGAATGCTCCAGAGACTTTCTCATACATAAAGGATATGGAAAAACAAAAGGTTTAAAGAGATGGCTTTTATTAACTGTCTTTAATGGACCAAAATGAATTACAAGATGTAAGACTTACTCATCTTCTATTATTTACCTTTTGTCTGACTTGAACCACAGCCTTCCAGAAATCCTTAGCTTCTACTCTGTGGCAATCTCCACACATCTGAGACTGAACAACATAATCTACCACAAACACCTGCTGAAGGATAGCACCATTCATCACCTGAAAAATAAATTATACTCTTTCATTCTTATAGTTTAGCTTAACTATAAATATCTTTCTGTATTTCCTTTTTTTTTAGCACTCAGTCCACCCTGAGAGTGGGGTTAGCGTGGTATATGGTGCTGGGGATTGAACCACAGTTACCTGTACCTGCCTAAGCTTGCCTAAGCAGGCACTTTAGACTGCTGAGCCATTTTGAATATTTTTCTTAAAAGAAGATGCTTTAGTAATTAAACTTTTTTCTATGAATGTTTTGAGGCTATTTGCCAAATTTGAAGTCATAAAAATAAGTTATATTATTTTAACATACATAAGTTTTAATTCATAAAATTAGATTAGAGGCCGAGGAGATAGCTCAGTAGAATAAGCGCTTTCCTGGCAAGCGCAAGAGTCTGAGTTCAATCCCTGGTTCCACCAAAAAAAAAAAAAAAAAAAAGAAAGAAAGATGAGACTTAATTTTAGGAAGAAAGTATGCAATGTGTTAATTATTGAAACTGTCCTACCAATTTGATTTGAAACTGTCTCATTGCTATTTGTTTCTGAATAAAATTATGGAAAAAAATAAAATAAATATACAAAAACTAAAAAAAAAGATTAATACTTCAAATTTACCTTTTAAGTGATTGTAACAATATGCTTTGAAGAACTACCATGTACACACATGCATGTTTATGTGTGAGGAAAATCCTCAAAAAGAAGATATTTCTTTTTCTTTTTTTCTGTATTTAGCACAGGGTCTACAGGATCTCACTATGTAAAACAGACTTACATTGATTCTCCTGTTTTCAGCCTCCCAAGTGCTAAAAACATAAAGGTACGCGCCACCATACCCAGACTCAATTGCTGTCTCAGTGAGCCCCACAGGCAGGGCCAACATGGCATGCTGGGGATCAAACCCTGGCCACTGCGCTCTGCCTAACCAGGCCAGTCCCGCAAGAAGATATTTCTTAATGTAATGATTCCCAAACACAAAGCATTATAAATCACCTAAAAAGCTTCTTAAACATGCAGTATAGAGAAAGAGCATAGATCTGTGAGAAAAAAACATGCCTAGAATGCCTGAGGCCCTCCCTGTGTTCAATCTTTAACAACACAGAAAAACAAAAACAAACAAAACACCAAAAAGAGAAATATATGGACTTCTAGGACTCACATTATGATTCTGAATCCATAACTATGAGTATGATGATCAGCCATATTTGCCTTAAGTCACATTTTTCGTTGATTTTTTATACCTTTATGTTTTTATTCATTTGGTAAAGGTCTCGCTGTGCAGCTCAGACTTGTAGTGATCCTCCTGTCTCAGCCTCCCCAGCACTGGGATTACAGGTGAGCACCAGCATGCCCAGTTTCCATGGCCAGCTCAGCTCTACCCTCGCATGCAGTACTGAGTATCAAACCCAGGTCCGTGTACTTGCCAGGCAGGTGCTTAGACCATAAACTATGTCCCCAGCCCCTCAGCCATGTTTGTACTTGAGTCCTTTTCTTAATAAAATGTAACAAGTCTTTCTCTTCACGAACAAATTATTTATACAGATGATCTGAAAATAAGACATTAAGAATACATTTTTCCTTTTAAGCTATTTAAGCCATAAAATAACTTACCCTTATTCTCATTACCTGCACTTTAACCATGCTTGGAAAACAATGTATAACTTACCTCCTTCTGAACAGTCAATTTAACTTTCAGTCTCTTAGAATGGGGCTCAGTCCAAACAAAGCCTGCATCTACAAGCCGTACCTTCAAATAAGCAAACAACAAAAAGATATACAAATTCCCACATAAAGAAAGAACAGATAAAAGTATCTCATTAAAGAACAGATTTAATAAGGTCCTTTAAGGGATTCATGATCAGCATTTCTACATTCCATCATAACAAGAAAGACTTATCCTCAGCAACAATAGCAGCAAACAACATGACAGCTCAATGACATTATTAGGGCAACTAATACAATTCAAGCAAAAATTAAAGTACCTATATAAAAAAATTACTTTCTCTAAACAACTTGCATTGTTCTTTGAATGGAAAATGTATACTATATATGTGTAGATTTTAAGAAAGTAAAGAGCTGGTGGCTTCATTATCTATAAGAAACCTCATGCACCTAAGTTTCCACTTACACTAAATCTTTAGCTTCTTTTTTAAAGAAACATTCATTAGAGCAGGTTTCATGCACTGAATATAAAAGCACAATAACTCACTGCTAAACCTGCAGCATCTACAGTAGTTAAATAGATTTAGGAGAGTCTAAGCAAACAGATGATAATTTTATCAAGTATTATTTGCTAAGAACTAGTCTACCTAGAATAGATACAGCATTCTAAAGTAAAACTGTCCTCTTATGACTGGCTCCCCTAAAGCAAAACCTCATAGTAAACTAAGCATGTCAGGTACAGAGAATAACAAGCAGCTTCCTATTCCCTCAGTTTCCATCTGGAATCAAAAGGAAGCTCCAAGGGCAATGAATAATACTGCTCTTCCATCAACATCCATCCCCAATCTGCATGAATGAAAAAAGGGTCCTTGGCATACACCTCAGCATTCCTCAACACAGCCTCACCATGTATCTGCCCTTACACAGCCAAAACTAATCAATCTTAATCCTTTGTCCTTCTTTATCACAGTCCCAGAAACCTCAGTAATCCCTCATTTCTCACACTGATTTTCACATAGTTCTACACAGTCCCTATTCTGTCCTCACCTAGCAGTCCTTCCAAACCCTTTTACTCTGCCGTCTAGAACTCAACATTCATTACAAATGAAATTTCCTAGATCCTTAATTGCTTTGGTGATCATTCCCTCCATTTTCTAGTCCTTCTGATCACACTACATTCTCATAGCTTGTTAACATGATGACCATTTTCTTCATTTTGTTTCTACCACCAGACCAGGAGCCAGACAGGTGCCCTTCTTGTTCTTCACTCCTAATGCCAGATCCTTCTTCCTACTGCTTCAATATACCTGTTATGGTTTGTGTATAGGTGTCCCCCTAAAGCCCCATGCAGTCTTGGGGCAGATTCTGGAGTTTCTGATTGATTATTCTGAGTGTGGATGCTGCACCTGCCCTGGGGCTGGTAATTTGTATTACAATGTAAGGAGGGAAGAGAAGCTAGCAGCTTGAGCTGCTGCTACCCCTCCCTTGTGCTCTTGCTCTTTGCCTCCACCATGAAAGGTTGTTTTCTGCTATGTGCTGCTCTGCCTTGGACCAAGCTGAATATGGATTGAAACCTCCAGTAACTGTAAGCTAAATAAACCTTTCCTTCCTTCATTTTGAGCATCGGGTATTTGTCCCAGCAACGAGTAAAAAACTAAAGCAACACCCATGCTCAATCTGAAGTCATTATCAGACTCTACCACCTATTACCCTTTGGTATAGCTATCTGTTAATCCTTTTATCATTTGCTCTCATTTCTCAAAGATTTTAGTTCTTAGCTCAGTGTCACTCCTTTTAACATTATTAATACTCAGTAATTTCAGTATCCACAGATGACCCCTGATGTCTCTATTCTTTGGTTCCCATCTCAAAGATCTTGATCTCTTTCCTGTGTCAGCTACCTCTTTTTACCAGTACCTACAACCCCTCCAAAATCCTACTAACCATTTATCTTTCCAGTATATTCTGTCTAGTTCTTAAGTGCCAAAAATCCTTTAACACAACAGAAAAATTTTTTCACCCTCCCATCTTTTCATTATTTCTTATCCCACCTCATCTAAACACTTCCATCCTATGCCAAGTTAAGTTGAAAATCAACCAGAAAACATCAAAATTACTCCCACATATATACTCTCAATTCCCTTAGTCCCTCTCATTTTATCTTAGTCAATAATCTAAATCAATGTGTTAAATTCAATGCTTTCCCTGCTGTACGTATTATCTGGGCAGTTGGTGGGGGTGAAAAATAAATGCACAGCATACTCATCACTACTCTTCACATTTATAACCCTGTTAGGTCTGTCTAGCACCCAATCATTATTCTAGTGCATTTCTTCTCTCACTGTCCTAGAGGACTACTTCTTACTTTTCCCCCCTCTCCTCAAACATTAAATAGCTCTTTTTTTCACAGCTACTGCCCATGCTTCTGTTTCCTCTGAAGAGAATTTCCAGAATCTCTCACATACCAACCTCTTCTCTGTTACCACCGATAAATTGCCTATTATCAACACCAGCCCCCTTCCAGAGCAAAGACAGATCTTCTATTTTGTTCCATGCAATTTACAGCTTCCCAAAACTGTGCTTAGCAAAGACTAAACGCTGTACGAATATATAAATAAATGTGTCTACTATGCGCTATATTCTTTTTTCTATACCTCAAGGACATCCTCCAGTCAATTCTGTGGTATATTAAAAGGTACAAATTCCATGCAGAAAAAAAATCTAGGAGGGGGATTAGAACTGTTCACAGAGGAGTTGAAATGTGAAATAAGAGTATCTAGGGGAGGCTTCTAAAAGAAGAAAACATCTGAGTAAACATCAAAGGTGGTAATGAAAGGAACTATGCAAAAACCTGAAGAGTATTATAGGCAGAAAAAACAAGTAGGGAGACTATAGGTAAGAGCCTACTTGTCTGGTTGGAGTGAAGTGGTGAGAGAATAATTAGGGATTAAGTCAAGAAAGTTATAAAAAGTCAAATATGTTAACAGAGTATGACTTTGCAAGAACTGGTTTTTGCTTTCTTGTCTATTGTCATCCTCCTAAAGAACTCAATGAATGAGACATCAAGAATAATTTACTTTCTAACAAGAGCCACCAAAAAGTGAGATTATTATCTGGATAAAATAAAAAGCAAAATCTGGAGTCAAATGCTGAATCGGATTTAAAAAGGAATGAATTTTTTATTACACAAGAAGGAAACAGAATTTGTAGTTCCCTAGTACAATCCCTACTGGGTTGATTTCAGACTGGTGAACAGAAGGCAGTTTTGGGGTTTTACAAGCTATGCTGAGAACAGGAGCACAGGCAATGGTTTGGATATTTGGGAAGAGGACAATTCAAGCACTTGTTACTATTTTTCTACTTCAACTTCTACATTTACTGGCTCTTAATCTTTAAAAAGTATACTCAGAAGTAATAAGAATCATAATAAAATTTTTATAATTCTTAGGATTTCTGCTGATTTTGCTTATAAAACCTTATTTAAATAATAAAGTTGATGTTTACAATTTTTTACAGAATTAAAAACCTATTATATAAAAGTAAACTTAAATCATTTAAGTAAAATAGGTATATAGAGGACAAAAGACAGACTAGATAGAAAATAAGATTTGCCAGTCCCTCTAGCTGCTGTGTTTAGAATAGATATTAAGGGTAGAAGTAAAGCCATCAGCATAAACTTTAGGAAGTAATCCTAATAATTCTGAAAAATGATGGCTTGCATCAGAAGTGAAGATGATGAGAAACAGATTCTGGAACCGTTTTCATGGTAGTCATAACACTTACTGGTGCAGCTGGACATAAGAAAGGAGTTGAGGATGACATCTGCTTTTTTTTTTTTATGTATTTAATACAAGGTCTACAGGATCTAGAGAGTCTCGTGAGTCTCCTGTTTTCATCACTGGGATTACAGCCTCGCACCACCAGGTCCAGTCTCACTTGCACTCTCAGCATGTCCCAGAGGATAGAACCCTGGCCACTGCGCTCGTCTAAGCTGGCGCTTTAGTCTGCTGAGCTATCTGGCCAGCCCTTATCTGCTGTTTTTTGACTTGTAATTATTACCTCCTCTACATATCACACACATACCCAAGCTGAAATAAAAGCTAAGACAGAATAGAAACTTATTCACTGCTATATGCCTATCAACAAAACTAGCTTATCACAGAACTGGCAATTATTAAACATATGCTATACGAAATAATGAGTTATTAAAATGCATCAGACACTTGACAAAAGTCTTAAGTATAAAAATGAAAAAAATAAATAAAATATACACATCTAAAACACACTGACTCCAGGCAAAAAAAAGTCAGAGAACAGATGAAAACTTTTAAAAGAAGAAGAAAAAAAGAGTTATACATTAAGTATTCCTAAACTGAAAATCTGAAATCCAAAATATTCCAAAATGCAAAAATATTCTAGAGTACGACATAATGTAGAAAATGGAAAATTCTACACCACAAAACTGTTTCATGCATAAAACTACTTAAAATATTATTAAAATTATACTCAGGCCACATGTATAGTGTATGTACATAAATGAATTTCGTGTTTAGATTTATGTCCCACTCCCAAAGTATCTTGTTATATAAAAATAAATAATCCAAAATTTTTGAAAAAAAAATAAGAAATCTGAAATACTTCTAGTCCCAAGCATTTGAGACAAGGAATATTCAATCTGTATCAAAATTCTCAGAAAAATTTAAGAACAAAAATACATTAAGGGATAGATACACAGTTACTTTCTTTTAGTTCAATGAGAAGAAAGGTTTATACTAATATTTTTTAGACAAGATATCATGTCTGCAGCTTGTCCTCTGAATAGCCACTACAAGACAGTAATATGCAATGAATTAATTATTGTAACTGTCCTACTAACCTGTTTTGTAACTGTTTCATTGCTATTTTATTTTCTCATTAAAATGAATGAAAAATTAAAAAAAAAAATAAAATGAATAAAAATTTTAAAAATTACATTAAAAACATGACTTTGGAACTTAAAAAATATTACTGCTTGAAAAAAATTAATAGAAAAAAGACTGGAAGATAAAATATGGGAAATTGCCAAGAATATGAGGGAAAAAGTTTTTTTCCTTATTTTAAATATTAAGGGCAAAAGAGAAAGGCCAAGGGCCAACATCTGACTAACAGAAATTCCATGGTGTGGAGGAAAATAAAGCAAGAAATTCCAAAAAACTATTGCATGACATTTTCTCAGCGCTTAAGAATCAGAAAAGCTTTCAAACAGTCATAAAGTATGTATCAAGAAGTAAACAGGACAGTAACCAAACCATATTTGCATTTTGGAAACATCTATACATGGACTTGAAGCGATAGGCACATTTTTTTTCCACAGCAACAATAAAGAAGTTTTAAAAAGTCAAATACTAAAATCCCCCTAATAACATAATCTCCCATGTTATTTTTTTTCCCCATGTTATTTAAAAATCGTTTATATAAAAATTTTTCAGAAGAAAAATATTGGGGGCCGGGGAGATGGCTCAGTAGAATAAGCGCTTCCCTGGCAAGCGCAAGGGTCTGAGTTCAATCCCCGGTTCCGCCCCCCCACAAAAAAGAAAGAAAAATATTACATATAAGAGGTTCTCAAAGAGTTGGGGCTATAGTTCAGTGATAGAGCACTTGCAATGTGCCTAGCAAGCACAAGGCTGGGATTTAATAGCACCACAAAAAAAAAAAAAAAAAAAAAAAAAAATGGGAAAGGGGTTTTCAACAAATAATGAAGATCATAGGAGAATCTTCTAAAAAGGAAAGTTTTTCTAAAAGCATGCCTATAAATACTGATTTTTAGCTGTGACTTACCTTACTCAGGGGGGCTTTGATTTTTTTCAAACACAAAGCAAGAAGTTCCCTGGATTCTAAAGCACACTGTACCCACATTCCTGGTGGCTGAAAATATCTGTGGAAGAAAAAAAAAATCATACTGAAATCCAGTACCTCTCAGGAAAGAAATTTCTGTCCAAATACATACGTACAACACTGATTTTTATTCAAGCAAAACACAGTAATATAATACTCAAGGTTGTTCTCAACCATTTAACCCAAATGTATTCTTAGTTTGAGTGAACTTTCAATGAGACCAGTACCTTTAGCTTAAAAAAAGTAAAATTCTGCCTGAGAAAGCCAACTGAGATAACCTATTAAAGTGATCTTATTACTTTGAGTAAAAATTCCAGTAGGCATGACAAAATGTCCAAAAGTTCCTTGAAGCTATGTTCTCAAAAACAGGTCAAAATCATCTCAAAATTATATTGAAATTATTCTGTACTTCTAAAATGTTGAAAACTGCTTATGTCTCATAAGAAAGATTAGTACATCATATACTGTATCAGATTATTCATTTATATATTAAGTCTTTTTTTTAAATTTTAAATAGTATAATTCACTTTTTAAGATTTTAGGTAAAACCACCTTAAAACCTAAATCCTTTCAATTTCAGTCTTTATTTCAGCCCATTCCAGGCAGGACTCACTGGATTTCCTTTCCACCTACTACACTCACTTTAATTTCTCGTTGTTAGGGTTTCTATCTAGGTGTTTCCCAAAAGCCTCACGCACTCATTGGAGCTCTGAGGAGGTGAGCAGTTCATGGGAGCTGGTAATCATCAGACAGTGGGGGGGCCTAGAAGGGCATTCCTGATAAGAACAGATACTACACTTGATCTTAGCCACATCAAAGGGTTCTTCCTCCTCCCACTTCACTGGACAGTCCCCTCCAGAATGCTCCTCTGCCACACATCCTGCCTTGGAGCCAGCTGACTATGAACTAATAACTTGAGCTAAAAGAAAACTCTCCTCTTTTAATTTGCAGTTGTCAAGCACTGTGTTGCAGCAACAAAAAAGTGACTAAGACATTTGTGAACCTTAATTTTTAAAACATAAGTCACTTAAAACATAAGGTGCTACTTATCACAACTTCTAATAACTGAAAAAAATTAATGACAATAACATTAACGTGTCCTTCACAAATTGCTCTCATTTGTCCTTACAAACATCAACTCTTCTTTTCCAGTTACATACATCAAACCTATTCTTTAACAAAAAAAGAACTGATTCAAATTCCTTTACAGTATCTTCACCATATAAGTAGGGTAAACAAAGTAAGCATAATACAAAATTGCAAATTCTAAAATCTTTGGCAAAGATTTTTTGAGACAGGGCCTGACTATGTAGTTCAGGCTGGGCTGGCCTCTAAGCACAGCACACAAATAAAAATTAAATCTCTACTGCATGAACTTCATTCTATGCACCTTGCACTTCTCAGCATAACCCAGTGATTCTCTTTATATAAATCACAACTTTAAGTAGAGTAAAACAAGAATGCACTGTACCTTTGACACTGCTTGCAGAAAGAAATGGACACTTGTTTTGGAATGCCTTGGCTGATGTCAACTTTACTTCGCAGACAGGCGACACAAACATTGGCAGGATTTGGACTAATCGGGACACCACACTCACAGCACAAGCTTGAATAAACAAAAGATAAATTTTTGAAAATTGCATTTTATAAACATCCTAGCTAAAAAAAAAAAAAAAAAAAGCAAACAAAAACCTTCAAATTAGTCCATATTTCTGGTTTAAAAAAAAAAAAAGACACAACCAAGCAAGGTGGCCCTTGCCTGCACTCAGGAAGCTGAGACAGGAGGATTGCTTAGAGGCCAGTACAGGCTACACAGAAGAGTTCAAGGCCAGCCTGAACTACACAGTCAGGCCCTGTCTCAAAAATGAAAAAAACAACAGAGAAACAAAGGATTTTAAAGATGCAGAAGACTAGCCAGCACATGGTTGAACACAAGAGAGATAACAGCTCTAAGGCAGGAGTACCTCAAAGTTATGCCTAGCGTGGAGACTTAGCAAGATGCTGTATAAAACAGAAAAATAAAGGAGAATGGGGAGGATAGGAATGTAGCTCCATGTGAAGGACCTGGATTCAATCTTGAGTACCAAGAAAAAAATCAAATCTGACTCATCAACCCCATTTGTTCTGATCACTTTGTCTAATGTCCAACTTAATGACTTAGCTCATTTACTCAGGACCTATGGACGGATGACACAGCCTGAGTTAGGTAGCAGACGAAAAACTAAAACAAAGAAGACTATATCTTTGATAAACACGCCTTAATACCATCTCTTCGATAAACATACCTTAAAAGTTTTACTATGGAAAATTTATAACTGATGTCTAAATCATTTCTAATAGTAATCAGACAACAATATACTACCTATAAGGGAAAATTTAAAAAAAAAAAACCACAAAAACAGGGATTGCCAAAATATAAGCATTTACCCAGAGTAGAAATACTTTCAATAGTAAATATATCTACATCTAGTGACTCAGTGTAAACAGCAACAGGATAATTCTAGGTGTATTAGGTGCAGAAAAAGTTTGAGAACTACTAATAGAGCAATGCTGTCCAAAATAAAAGTTTGATAATCTTCTAATGGTTGCCAATGAGCACGTGAAAGGAGGCTAGTTTGACAGCAATAATATTTAATTTTATAATTTAAACAGCCACATTTGGCTAATGGGTGCATGGTGGACAGTGTCAATCTACAAGGATACACACACTTTGTATTTAGCCTTCTTAAAGCATTGGATTTACTAAAACTTTATAACAACACTGAATTCGACTTTCTAAGAAAAAAAAAAACCTCATCTAGTGCCACTTCCTACAAAAGAATCTTTCCCCCATCAACAAGTCTTTACTAGTTAAAACATTAAATTTCACGGACTCGGCTTAAAATCTTAACATTTAAAGAGATCTCTAAGGGTGGGCACTCACATGTGTCCAGGGCTGTGGTTGGTGGACTCCGTCATATACTCCATCCTTCTGAACACCTTGATTTAAGAAGGGCAGGGGGTGCGTTTCATTCATTTGTCTAGTCCCCGCTTTATAAAACTAATCATCCCGCTGCGGCTTCTCTGAACAAGGCGACAGAGCTGTGTAAGAGGCACGAAATGTGGAAAGCCACTTACAGGCACTTTGAGAATTAAGTTTCTAGGCCGGCCAGGACGACCTCGGCCACATGGGCCGCGGACCCCAAGCCTCACGGGGAGCCTGCCCCTGCCCCCCACCGCGGCCGACCTCGCCCGGAGCCCCCGACCGCGTCCCCACCCGGGACCCCGACACCCGGCGGGCGGCGCGCACGCGGAGCGTTCGGGGCGGGCTGACGTCGGCCGGGTCCCGGAGCCCGCTGCACTCCCACTCCGGGGACCCCGCTCACGCCTGCTGCCCCGGCTTTGGCCCCGGAAACTACCTGGCACCTCAGGGTCCGGCTGATTTACCGAAAAGTGACTACAGAACCAAAACCTACACCCTGCCGGCCTGTCTGAGGCTACCAGCATGCGCCTTGCCCGGCCAAGATCTCGCGAGAGAAGTCAAAGTCCCGCGGGATGAGGGAGGGGAGGGCAGCAAG